CAAAGAAGTGCAAAATGTCGGCCTTTTCTTGGGTTATCTCCTCGGCGGTCAATTGCTGTGGATTTAGTACCAGAATAATCATAGATCCAGTGCTCGCTGTCCTAACTGTCGCCTGAATCCAATGCCCCGAATGGGTCTCGGGATCGAAGCCATTGAGTCTACTTTTGGTGGTAATATAGGTCTGGACGGCATTCATAGCGCTCCTCATGTGATCGCTAATTATGGGACAATTAATAGGCGGTGAGATCACCCGAACGGTTCCCTCTCTGTAGAGCCCCAACCGAAAGCCCACAGTCTTGTCGATACCGACCGTGAATTCACACTTATTTCGGTACCCATTGATAAGCGTTGAAACTCTGATGTCTTCGAGCGGACAACACTTGTTGTCGTACTCGTGAGTGACTCGTGTCAGCCATACGCCCAACGAAGTGGACTCTTCGCCCGATTGGGTCACGATTTTCGTCAACTCTTTGTTGAGACTCAATAAACAAGTCTTTAATAAATGGTATTTTTCGGTCAACTGTTGTGAATAAGACATTCGCCAAAGCGATGCGATCTTATCGTTGAGAGTGTCGGCCAACTGTTCCTCAGAGACCTCACTGTCTTCGAGGCGTTTCAATCGCTTCGCGTCCGCATTGTCTTCACGTCTCCGTTCATTGCGTTTCTCAACCAATGGGTCGGCGATTGGATTCGCTTTCTTCACCACCAGTTCCCTGTTTTTCCACAAATACTTATGCAGTTTATTGATGGCCTCCTCCCTGTCCTCATCGCACCGGAAGGTCACAAACGAATGGGTCGGAGCGCCCGGCCGTCCGATCAGTTTCGTCTTCAGTGGCTTTAAGTCCAGACGTTTCAGCAGTTTCTTCAATGTCTGCAATCAAATGAGACAATCATAGCATTCATTGTATGGCACGCGAGTGGACAGTAGGTATGGCTCACATCATAGCCCACATGTTTGGGTAGGTTTCGGATCTCAATCTTCAGCGTCTCGGACGTGAACTCATCTCTTCTGGTGTAGGAAAACACGTCTTCAGCGGACACTTCAGTCGATTCTGTCTTCACTGGAGTCGATGGTGTCGTCGATTCGCCACTCATTTCGCTATTCATACCAATCATACGGTTGTCAACACTGTCTGCACGTGTCTTAAGACTCTTAAGTTAAGAGCCCTTTAATGCCAACATGTGTTCAATCCATTCATACATATCGTTGCAGTCATAGAGAGTGTGTATTGAATGCAATGCTTATAAGACAACACTATTTGCATGAATGGAGGGCTGAGAGGGGACTCAATGACACACTTTTGGACTGTTTTTCACGAATGACTCCAAACTGTAAACAAATGATTGAATGTTTTGAACGCAAACCACAACTCATTGCAAGACATCTCAAGACATCACCGAAACATGAATCCAATGAAACCATTGCTCACGTCCGCTGCGTTACCACTCATCTCACGACTCATCCCAAGTGTGTGTCGACTGTCGACAGTCAGTAACAAACGGATCACTCGTATGGCGAGTGATCTGGAAGTGTCTGAAAGCGAACTCCACAGCAATGGTAACGAATCGGTGGTTAAGACACGACTCGTGAATAGGTGGATCACTCGTATGGCGAGTGATCTGGAAGTGTCTGAAAGCGAACTCCACAGCAATGGCAACGAATCGGTGGTTAAGACACGACTCGTGAATAGGAATCCAAGAAATTTGGAACAACTTCTGTTCGACAAGAAGCCATTGGGTTATGAACTGGATTTGCCTCAAAGAACCTTCTGGAACAAGTCGGTCACCACTGTATGGCTACTCTAATGACTGGCTAATTATCTGCCATTTCTATGTCTTAAGGATTGTCTTCGAGAGCGGCGGTAAACACTTGACGGCAAAGATTGTCCACAATTCGGGACGGGTTGTCGTCAGCGCCAGTACTCGCGAGACAGCCGTTGGACAGCAGCTCAAGAGGTATGAAATTAGGTGTTCAATGATAGCCATAATGAGTGATGTTTTGGTCGAACAGTTCGAGTGGTGTGTCTGCGGCCACGAGTTTAGGACATGTGTTGGCGTTGAGGGCCATAGAGAGCGGTATTCTTGAGGTGTTTGTCGGCGTTGAGTACGAGTCCAACGAATCACTCAAAGTATGCGTCAATTGATTGTCACTTCATTTGATCCGTAGTTTCATTGATATCTTTATTGAAACCACAGGTGAAGGCCTTTCTCAGCGCTCTTAAGGCCAATGGACTGGTATTAGAGGAACAGCCGTTTGTTTTCGAGAGACAGCGAAGGGATCACTAGTTTAGACACTCTTTGGAGCAATGATTCAAACAAATGCTGTTTTTCTAATCATTTTTGTCGTGATTTTCATTCATTTCTATTAGAGTTGTATTCAAATTGAATACAAAAATCAAATCAATTATTAAAATGTTTGTGAAATTAAGTTATGTTTTAGTTTTGTTAATAATATTCACGTTATTCTCGTTTTGCATATATTTTGGATTATATTCTGTGGAAAGGAGTACTGAAAGGAGTACTGAATTGAACACAAATGAAGTACTGGTGCCCACGAGTGTCGGCGCTTTTGTCGGCAATTTAGTCACATTTGGCGACAAATCTGTGTCCGTATTCTTAGGCATACCATACGCTAAGCCACCGGTGGGTTCACTGCGATTCAAACCTCCCGTTCCTCTCACGGAATCCACTCATAGAGTGTCAGAAGGGGTGACCACAACCTCCTGAGCCGTACGATAGGCACAGCTTTAGGCGATTACTACATCTCGTGTCCGTCCCATCACTTCGCGGACTATGTGTTGAGAAATAGCCATAACTGCAGAGTATATCAGTATTACTGGACATATAGAGGAGACCCGAAGTCCAGTGCCTTTTGGCGCACCTTCGAGGAGGTCTGGTGTGGGAAATGGATGGGAAGCTGTCATTCATTTGAATTGTACGCCATTTTCGGCATACCTTTCCTCCAGTCGATTGCGTTCAACGAAATGGACAGAAGAATGTCTTCAAAGATCATTACAATTGTCTCACAGTTTGCGTACAATAAGTGAGAAATGGATTGCATTTTGAGTGAAAATTAATTAATTTTTGTGTTGAAGTCAACCATTGGCTGAGAAAACGGCAAACATTTGGCGAGAATTCAGTGAAATGTCCGCCAATTCTGTGTCCAAAGCCTATCGTGTCATCGATTGTGGCTTAACTCGTGAGCAGATGTCTGGAGTGGATCTCAAGACATATGAATGCGATTCCCTTTGGAAGCCATTCATCACTCACTGAACCCACGACCTCTGGAACCAATGGATCACTAAATCGATTGATTACAACATATTACACAATATTTTCATTCATTGCAATCTTTAAGCCATTCGTTAAACATTAAAACAAATCAAATGAAAGTTTTATTTTCAAACAAAAAAATGTCATTTGATTTACAATTAAATTATGTACACAAACGAAATGATTATAAATTAAAATAATAGCGATTGAAAAAAGTCATAAATACATAACATATTTACCGTTTAATTAACTATTTGTTTAAATGTCACTGAAATGCTATTTACAAACATAAATATAATGATTATTAGAGGTATAGGGCGTAGAGGGGATGGGGATATCATGAACTCCCAGCCCCCATAATCGGCTTCAAATCACGTCATTGTTTCGATTTAAATGATTATTCATATCTAATATTGCCTTAAAATCCTTTGCAAACAAAAACCCAAAACCTATAAGTCGTGTAATCATCTGAAGTACGTCTCGAGATGGGGTATCCGTACGACACCGACACCACCGCCGAGGCGCCGGTAGTTCATTGACCCGCACAGACACCACT